TACACCCCCAAACACTAAAACAACACACAGTATATAAGCACACGAACTGCAAAAACCGCCATCGCTCTTTCCTCTGCTCATCAACTCCATCAACAAAACGTGAAAAAAAAATCACTCATTCATTGTATTAGCAAACTAAGATCTGAAAAATCAAAAGAAATAACACAAAAAAAAAGTGATCTCTTTGATTCTCTATATCGTCACCTCCGCCTCTCTCAGGTCACTTGTTCTTCCAAAATTAATCAGCATTTTGTATTTATTACTTTCCTTTTCTTAATATTTTTTCTCTATTATTATTTCTATATGTGATATGCAATCAAAAAGTTCTCATTTTTTTTTTTTTTTAATTTTATTTTTGTATGTGTTGTCGATGATATATATATTTGTTCTTTTCGGTATAGTCTTAGTGGGATAGGATTATTGATATGTGTTTTGATTTTGTAACTCAATTTCAAGAAAAATAAAAAAAATGAAAATGGGCCTATTGATTGATGAATGCAGCTGGTGTCGATAAAATCTGATATTGTCCTTAATCTTGAATATTTGGCATTGACAGAATTGATGATGTTGCTGTAAATCTGCAATAAATGCATCACAATTAAATCCATAGTTAATTCATCCAGTGTGGCTATTGTAGTTGACTTTGGTTTAGTTAATGTTTCAACTCTTAGCAACATTCAATGGAAATGTATTGATTCAATGCCCATGTCCTGTTTGTGTTTTTGCTTCAGTTACTCTTCAATGCTGTTAAAAAAAGGGTCTTCAAAAGTTCGAAAATCCTCCAAAGTCGATAATGGAATAGTTGCATTGGTGAAATCAGTGGGTAGTTTAATGGGACCCGAGATAGCTATCAACGTAAAGATGGAAACTTGGCAGCTCGTCAAGTGGGATGGCTCGAGCGGCACCTGGAAAGAGCACGACCAAGAAATCAACACGTGGTGCCCTTCGAAATTCTTAATCATGTGCTTGAACACAATTCAAAATGGGGTTCAAGTGGAGATGCCTCTGTTTGCGAGTTCGTGGGGGCTCGAGTTTTGGAATAGCTATGCCAATGGGAGTGACTTGGTAGATGTTGATGATGATGCCAATGATGGAGGTTGTAAAAGGGTGGAGAAAATAGCTTGGGTTTTATCGGCTGCTGCCGATAAAATCTCGATGAAGGAGAAAGAGGGTGTGTCGTTCGACGGCCCTTTCCTTTTGTATATTGTGCCTTCGCAGGAGAAAACATACGAGGTAGTTCATGATTTTTTTTTTATATATTTTTATTTTGTTTCTGTTTTTGATTTTGTATGGTGGAGGTAAGTATTGTATCGATCATGACAATGGCCTAGTATTTTGCTTCTTTTTTATTTGAGCATGCTCTTGTGTATCTAGAGTTTGTTGAATCACTACACTGTATGTTAGGCTCTATAAATTAAGATCTATTACTAAAATCACATATTTTTGTTGAAATTGGAAAGTAGGAATTGAGATTAAGTCATAGCTGAGGAAAAGGCTCTGACCGAAAGGGGATCGTACAATGATATGGCTTGATCCTTTTGTCGGCATTGTCATATAGACTTGCCATGAAAGCTTATATGTGTTGGGTTTTGTTCGTAAGTTCAGGTAAGCCAAATTTGCAAGTTTTTGGAAGTGGTCGGGATACAGACTCTGGCTTTGCATTCTGGTGCGTCGATAGAACATCAAATTCACAGGTTAGGACCCCCTTTGTTTTTTTTTTTTGTATTTTTTTTTTTTTGGGATAATTTTAGATGTCCTAAGAAGATATATGCTTGTTGGTACCCCGCCAATGTTGTTTTGTAAAAATTGTTGTCAACTTCTTCGTCAGATATGGTTGTTTAAGATTATTCGCCTTCTTTCAAGACTCGGAAAATGTATGGTGGCAGTTTTTGCTTAGAAAGCCTCGTAATATGAAAAATCAGTATAATATCACGGTGACATGTTGAAGTTTTTATTGCATTTCGTGGGGATATTTTAAATTTTCGGAATGTCTGCAAGCCGTACGAAAAAGTAAAATGATATATAAAAATTGATTCTGGCTTCTTTGTGAATGATTTAAGTGAAACTTCTTGCAAACTCGGAAGAAATTAGCCCTACATTCGTTTATATTGATTATTTGTTTACCTAATGTAATGAAATCTGCAGCTTGAAGAGTTATGAGCCAGAGTTTGTTGTGTCCACACCTGAGAGACTTTTGGAGCTTTTGTCCTTAAAGGCAGTAAACTTATCCGATGTTTCCTTAATGGTAACTTTGTAATCTTCTTTATTCTGAGATACTTCGTGGATTTCTATAAGTGAATTTTTTTCGGGTTCTCCCTCAAGTGCCATAATTCTTACAATTCAATATCATACTTGTGTATGAAAACATCGATTACACTTTTTGTAGATTGTTGATGGACTAGAAGATCCACTTGACGACACTACTTACTTAAATGCACTTCAATCTATCCGGCAGTCCATCACCGGAAATCCTCAGACCGTTGTTTTCTGCAACAGCAAATAATTTATTTATTTATTTTTCTCGTGGAAGCTGCAAAAATGGTTGTACCTGAGTGTTCCTTCTACGGCTCATCGATAAATTTTGTCATAGAGAAACTGTTACAGGTTTTCTGCTTTATTTGATAGTTTCATATACATTTATATGAAGTGAAAAATTTTGGAATAATTCTTATTATGGCTTGACATGGTACTGGTGATTTTCGTTAATTTATTCTAATTAATTGAGACAGCTTTCTCAGAGGTGGTAGTAGCCCAACAAGGCTAGATATTTATAAATTTATCTGACTACTGATCAATATTTGATTCTTGAATTTTATAAGAGCTATCTTGTTAGAATACTCAGCTTATAAGCTTTCCAATGATACCTGCAGATACATTGATCATAAAAAATTTAACCAATTTTATTCTTGTGCATATGTGCAATCTAGCTAATTAATTGTCAGATATCGGTAAATTATACTTTATTTTGTTTATCTTATTATGCTTTTAAAAAATTTCAACTCAATTTTAAAATTTGATTCATTAATTGTGTTATTGCTTTTTCCGAAACGCATTAATTAAAACATATAATTACAATCGACTAACTAGCCGAAATAGGAGGACTATCGAAGGCAGCCTACATACTACAACACACACTACAAGACAAAAAATAAAAAGCTCATCACAGGATAATAACACAAATGCTCCAAAAAGAAGAATAATACGCTCCTCCAAATGAGGAGAAAACAAAACACAACCACAAAACCAAAAACACTCACAAACAAAAACACATAAAGAATACTACACAAACTACTAAAATAAAATAAAGTCCTCTACGACTGACAAACAACACCACAAACTTCTACGCCGCCAACTACCCAGAGCCGTCACCCCACAAACTGAGACCTAGGTCAGAGCACCAAGCCTGAAACTTCAACAAGGCCTAACGAGGCCCAACCCCCCAACACCACGTCCCAAGAGACTGACCACCTACAAGCTAGCACGCCAAAATCAGCCTCAACGCTTCACCCCACTCCACTACAGCCAAAGTCTTACAATCCCGGAGCCACCAATCAGCCCTACCGGTGGAGCCAATCGCCCAACCCCAGAAGCGACATAGAACCAGAGGGGCAGAGCACCACGACTCCAAACCCGAGACCCTGCGACAACCACCAACGAAACTCACCGGCGGCCACCAGAATTGAAAGACCCACCACCCGAAAGCGTCCACCCCCAGCACCAGAGAGACGGAAGACAGGAGAAAACGAGGAAACTAACCGACGCACTGACCACCGACCCGTAGATAAATTATCTATTTTGAACAATGCTTTGTCTAACTTTAAAACTTCATACGACAAACTTAAAAAAAAAAACTAATATAATTATCATTTTTATTTTTTATTATTTTCAAAACATTAAACACTCAATCACGATTAAACAAAAGTGACTACTATTCAATTTATAAACACTATTTTAATTAACGCATGAGACTGGTTGGTAGTTGATGCGAACGAAAGTTGAACTGGTCTTTTGAAAAGCCTCGGACTCAGTCGGGTCGGGGACAAAATGAGAATAAATTGCTTGAATTTTATCAAAAAAAGGATGAAAATGGAGGACCCTACTTTTACTTGCTAGCTCTTGGACTGACTTCACTACTCACCGTACTTCTCAAGGTAAGATAAAGATTAGCTTAACCATATCATTATTATGAATCTCCGTTCCGTTTTCCTCAGTTTCTCAGGGATTGTTGTACCCTTCTTCTTCAAAGAAATGATCTGATCAGATGAGACTTCTTCTGTTAACGGAGATCGATTACCCAGGTGTGGTTTCTCACTTGATTATGTTTTCATTTTTGATTTTTCCCATTTTTGTGGAGTTTATTTGTAAAACTTCATTTTTGTTGTTCCTGAGGCAGTTTGATGTTTGCAAATGAAAGGTATTTAGGGCTGGATCGATTAGAACAGTGTGTTAGCAGACACCGAGAACGAAAATTTGATCGTCACTTTCTTATAATTTTTATCACAATTCTGAAAGTTTTGTTGCGGTAGGGAGATTTCGAATATTTTTGTGCTGTAGTAGTATATGTGGTCTGAATGTGGCTGTAAATGTGGAATTGTGGGCTTGTAATAGTTATGACCTTCATAAGTGAAATGATTTCAGGACAATCACTATCATGGAAGAATCAAATGAAATGACGATTGAGTTTCTCAGAGCAAGGTTGTTGTCGGAAAGATCTGTCTCGAAATCAGCCAAACAAAGAGCTGATGAACTGGCAAAGAGGGTAAGTTCCAGTCTCTAGTTTACTCTGTTTCTATCAACTTAACATCTATCGTGTATACTTGTTCACGTTTAGCTTTGAAGAAGGACTTGATGATTAAACTTTTAAGATTGAGTTTTTAATCAAGCAAGCCATTGGTGAACGGTAATTGCTATGTTTGTATGAGGATCTGCATGTATGTATCATTTTCTTGTCCATTTCAGAACATCAAGTGAATGTTTAATAAGGCTTCTACCCTTACAGCACCAACTTTAGATGAACTTTTTGTTAAGTGCCTTTCCAGAATGGAACTTATTAAGATAATAAACGAGTGCCTTTTGGGAATATGATAGAATGAGATCTGATATAGTAAAACAATCACCAATGTTATGGTAATCTCTTAAGGGAAACATGGGAAATTGATATTTGAGAATTAATTTCTCATTCTTGAGTTGCTTTTTTTTTTTTTTTTCCTAATGTGTATTTATTCAAAGTGTATCCAATTATAAACCCATGAAACACATCAATAAATCTCAAATATACTTTTAAGTCTTAAAAATGGCCTTCTGAAAGATGAGTGTAAGCATGCTCCAAAGCCCTAGTATTGGCTTTCACTTTTCCTTTGTGAAATTTATTGGATGATTTGGCTTTCTGATTCTTGTAATAACATTGCAGGTAACAGAACTCGAGGAGCAACTCAAATTTGTGTCTCTTCAGAGAAAGAAAGCTGAAAAGGCAACCGAGGATGTTGCAATATTGGAAAATCATGGAATAAGCGACATGTCCGAAAATTTCGATTCGTGTTCCGAAGAGGAGGAAAATCTGCATGACTTTGAGCTCCGTAATGGCTCTCCAATGACGAAAGTGACCTCAACCGATACAAAACCAAGAAAATTTGAAAATGAGGCATCTTCAAGCTCTGAAATCGAGTCTTCCCCTTCAACAGGTAGGAGCTTGTCCTGGAGAAGTACTAAAGATTCTCAGAATTCTCTTGAAAAGAAGAAGTACATAGACTCGGTCAGAAGAAGGGCTAGTTTTGCGTCAAATAGTCCATCTGCTAGAAGGGTTGGAAAATCGTGTCGCAGAATAAGGCACAGAGAAACAAGGTGACTTTGTATCCTTTTTTTTTTCCCTTAAAATAATGAGTGCATGAGATAATTATAACTTTTATCTTTGAGCCTTGAAGTTTAGTCTATTGCTTAAAAGGACCAATTAAAAACAAAAAAGCACAGTTATAATTTGAATCACAAGTGCCTGATTTACAACTTGATGAATTGAGAGGGCAACGGGTTTGTAAAACCTACACAAACCTAGAAGGTGTATCTTTAGTTATAAGAGGAATCCAATTTTTCTTTTTAAATTAGGAAAAACCTTCTGTATTTATTTGAATTATTCCTCGATCTCACTGCCTAATGTAACCGTATGTGTTTTGCATTAGTTACTTGAATTGAAAACGATTCATACTTTTGTCCAATATCCAGTTATGTGACATTAACCAACAACAACAACAACAACAACAACATAGCCTTTTAGTCCCAAGCAAGTTGGGGTAGGCTATTATGTGACATTAACCGTTTTTACAAAACTCTACATCCCTTATTTTCGTCCCAAAATGTAGTTCCTTTTGTTAGTTAGAGGCATCCATATTTCATTTGTCGTTGTTATGCCCCTATTCAGTAAGGAACAATTACTCTTTTAAAGTAATTAATCAATGTAGCAATCGGTGTAAATAAGCGGATAATAGGATATTCAAAGATTTTGTGAAGTATATTAAATGCATTCTTCATTTATGGCATGATTTGGATACTGGATGTTTCACATTGTTGTGCTCTTATTGATACATTAAACAACTAGCATCTTCAATTACATACCAAAGTCAAATTGTGGACTGCGCTTTTGACTGCATTATTTTGTGTGCGCCAGATCAGCGCAAGAATCACAAAATAATTGCACCCAGAAGTCTGAATGCTCTGTCGATGCTTCCGATGGATCGAACAGTGAGTTTGTTGTGTTAAGAGAAAGTCCCGAGTATGAAAACAAGAAAATTCCATCGAAGAGCACCAAATTGGAAATGGAAAGCGCACTGCAACATCAAGCACAACTCATTGGGCGATATGAAGAGGAAGAGAGAGCTCAGATAAAATGGGAGGAGAAGTATAGAGAGAATAACTCTGGCACACAGGTATTTGACCCTCTAGAAATATCCCGAGTTTCCACCTACAGTGCTATATCTGTTTACGTCTTGATTTTGTCTCAAGCTAAACAAATTTTGTCTATCCCCAACCAGGATTCAGGTGATCCCGGGACCCATTCGGATGTGACCGAGGAAAGGTACGAGATGAAGTCTCCAGACCCACCATCAAAGCCAGACTCAGTGACCAAAGAGTCTCCAACTTCCAAGAGTTCACCCGTTGAGAATTGCAGCTCTGCAATTAAAGCCTCTGAATCCTCAGCTTCAGAATTTTCATTCCCAGCATCGAAAGAGAAAATTGATGAGAGGGATATCCCAAGAAAAAAGCCCGAGGCACCTGAACATAGTCTCCAACAACATCCACCCGTGGGTCGTACGACAGCTCCTGATCCTAACAGAATCTCTCCACAGCTCGAGCTTGCAGTTTTGCCTCAAGGAGATCAGTCGAATAATCTAAGCTCCGTCTTAGAAGCACTTGAGAAAGCAAAATTGTCCCTGAATGAGAAGCTCAATAACAACTCAGTTGCACCACCACCACAGAGAACTCCCTACCCTATGATTGCCAATAAATCGGATGAAAGCTTCCAAATTCCATTTCGAACCCCCGAACTTTTCAGATTGCCAACTGATTATCAATTTGAAACTGGTGCCGGGCCAAGCTTTTCTAACTATCTTCCAAATAATTCATTTCTTGATTCTAGAAGTGCCTTTTACAATGACTTACTTCTCACCACCCCATATAGACCTTTTAGTCAGGAGATGAACCGGTCGGGTCAAAGTGAAGGTCAACAAATATCATTGTCTAATAGAACGATCAATCATGATCGCTATACAAACCCTTCATATCCATTTGTCCCGGATATCATGCTACGTGTACCATTGAATGATGAGGGGATTTCAAGAGCATTTCCGAGTAGCTCTTCAGAGAGTGGGTTGCCTTCAGTTATGCGCATATCGTCTTATGATCAAGATTTTCGGCCGAATATGTACAGTTAGTTTTGCTTTTACACTATGATGACTGGCTCCCATTTTTGAAGGTATGGATTATCTTGATTTATATATTTAGCTCAATATTTATCTCGATATATTTAGGCTGTTCGATCATTTTAGTATTGAGAACATCTTTTTTTGTTTGTTATGTGTTTGTTTGTATGAACTATGAAGAGTACGCACATATGTTCGTTATGAGCATGAAAGCAGTGGAAAGACTGATTTGTATGATAATACCTGTAACAAGTTTCTCTAGTAGTTGTCCCATAGTTGTATGTAACTGAAGTTATATATAACGATAGCATTATTGTCACGGTTTTGGGAGGTTTGTGAAAACAGAGACTTGTGGATGAGCGTTTTTTTTTTTTTTTTT